TTCTTTCTTAGGGCTGACATAATAGTGAGCAACACAACTGTGCAGTGGTGCTAGTTGTTATAGTTACAGTTTCTTCCCTCTCTCCCACCCCAGCTACAATACAAGGGGAAGATTGGCAATATGGGTATGGTTGTTTAAGATGGTAAAGGAATCAAAAAACTTAGCATAAGCTTAAGTTAGTGGTTCATGGAATCTGTTCTGGTTACATAGTGCCACTCGCTCTGACAAGAATAAACCACAAATGGGAAGGTTTGAACAAACAGGAGTTTATTCTTACAATTTGGAGGCTTTAAGTCCAAGTTCAAAGTGCTAGTCTCTAGGGGCTAGGTGAAAGCCCCTCAACCTTGGGGTCCAGCTCTGCCTCCTGCTCCCGGCCCACTGGAGCTAGAGGCTTTTCTTCCCTCAGACAGCTACTGGCTGCTGAGACTGACAAGCCCAAGGTCGACAAGCAAAAAGGCACAGTCCCGATGTTACCAAACCACACGCCAGGCCATTAACTCAAGTCCATTGGAAGTCCCAAGGTCGGCAGAGCATGGCAGGCTGCTGAACAACGACACGGCTACATGAAGAGTTCAAGTGTGCCATAAGTTAGAGACCATTCCCAAAGCTGTTTCTTTATACATGGGAAGCAGACCACATACCCAAAGGCAGCTACACAGCTACACAGTAGATTCCACCATGGAGTTGATTATCAGTCTCATCATAGGGAATACTACATCTGGCTGCCCAGCCACTCAGCCAGGTCTAGCCAAGTTGACACACAAACTTAACCACCACAGAGTCCATCAGGATAACAACTAACACTTATTATGCCACTCCTTGTTCTAGGTCTCTTACATTAATTATTTCTAATTCTACAACTTTCCAAGGTATATATTATAAACTCCACTTTACATATGAGAAAATTGCAGCTTAAGGAAACCACGTAAATTACTGGTAAATGGAGGAAGATGCTCTGGTGATTTAGTGGCTAAGGCATTTGGCTGCTAACCAAAAAGTCAGTGTTTCAAACCCACCAGCTGCTCCATGGAAGAAAGATGAGGCAATTTGTTCCCATAAAGATTTGCAGCCTTGGAAGCCCAATGGAAGTTGCTATGAGTCAGAATCAATTTGAAGGCAGTGAGTTTGGTTGGTTTTTGGTGGGTAAATGGAAGAGTCAGAAATCAAACTCACATGTCTCTGAATTGGAAGACAGATAGAATAAAATCCAGGATAGAAGGGAAGAGATATTACATAGGAATCAGAGATGATGATCAGGGTTACAGTAAAGTGTGGGTCCCATAGAAATTAGGCACAGGAAGAATTAGATGAATAGAGATTATAGGCATAGAAAGGAATTTCAGATTCTATAATATTGAGGGCCGTAGGGGATGGCCTCAGGGCCTCGGGCAGTCAGCTGCCACACCCAAGGCTGGAGGTTCAAACCCAGCAGCCGCTCCTGGCTAGGTAGCTGGGCTGTCTCTTAGGAGCTCTGGTAGCATAGTGCCTAAAGCACTTGACTGCTAACCAGAAGGCTGGTGGTTCAAACCCACCAGCCACTCCTCCGAAGAAAGGTTGGGCAATCTACTTCTGTAGTGATGCTGCCTCAGGAACCCAAGGAGGGGTCGCTATGAGTCAGAGCCGACTCGACGGCACATAACAACAACAACATAATATTGAGGGTAGAGCAGTGTTTGTGGGATCTGAAGGTGAGAAGTGAGGTCATAAATGTATTGCATATATTTGCACTGGGCAAATCTGATGCAAAAGACCTCTTTAAAGTGCTGAAAAGCAAAGATGTCTGAAGACTAAGGTATGCCAAACCCAAGCCATGGTGTTTTAATAGCCTCATATGCGTGTGAAAGCAGGACAATGAATAAGGAGGACCGAAGAAGAGATGATGCTTTTGAGTTGTGGCATTTGTGAAGAATACTGAAAGTACCCTGGACTGCCAGAAGAACAAAGAAATCTGTCCTGGAAGAAGTGCAGCCTGAATGCTCCTTGTAAGCGAGAATGGCCAGACTTCGTCTCACCTACTTAGGTCATGTTGTCAGAAGGGACAATTCCCTGAAGAAGGATATCATGCTTGGTAAAGTGGAGGGTCAGCGAAAAAGAGGAAGGCCCTCAACTAGATGGACAAACACAGTAGCTGCAACAATGGTCTCACGTATAGTAAGGATTGTGAGGCTGATGCAGGACCAGGCAGTGTTTCGTTCTGTTGTACCTAGGGTTGCTATGAGTTGGAGCTGACTTGACAGCACCTAACAACAACAATAACATTGTTGTTGTTGGAATAATAACAAGGCACGGGCAGTTGGAATCCATGAGATCAGGATGTTGAGTTGGTTACCCATGTTGATGTGGAAGTACCTCAAGATGATGGCAGAGAATGAGGTGGAGAGGAAAATTGTGAGCCAACTGGTAAAATCTCTGAGGAATATGGACATTAGTACATGACTGTGGCACAACTGGATGTCCTAGACTTAAAAGGAGAGTTGAGGAATCAAGGTGTTGAAACAGTAATCTAGAAGTGGTGGTGGAGAACAATGGGAATGCTTTTAATTAATTTAGTAATGCAGAAGAAGAGAAATGAGTAAGTAAAATGAGTAAGTAGAAGGAGGTGGTCGTGTGAAGAAGGCTTGTAAGGTGTAGTTTGGAAGATGTCTGAGAAACAATCCAATTCATTAAAGTAATATGGAAGCAGATGTAGAGAGGCAGAATCATTTGCGTAAGCTCACACAATAGCCTAGAGGCAGTGGTGGATATGGTGAAGCTGATAGGAAATGGGCCTTGGAATCAAATGGCCCTGAGTTTCAACAGCAGCTTCATCATTTACTACCTGTGAGACTTGAGGTAACAGCTAACCTCTCAGCTTTCTCATCTGTAAAATAGGATATGAGCTCTGGTAGCATAGTGGCTAAGACAGTTGCCTGCTACCCAGACGGCTGGTGGTTCAAACCCACCAGCCACTCCTCGGAAGGAAGGTTGGGCAATCCTACTTCCGTAGTGATACTGCCTCGGAAACCCAAGGAGGGGTCGCTATGAGTCAGGTATGACTCGACGGCACATAACAACAACAACAACAAATATCTAGTGCAAAGGATTATTTTAAGGATTCAATGAGGTTGATGCATGTGAAGTGCTCACTTCGTGCACTGTGCCTGGCACACTAAAACCAAACCCAACCCACTACGATCAAGTCAGATCTGACTCATAGCGACCCCTCCTTGGGTTTCCGAGGCAGTATCACTACGGAAGTAGATTGCCTAACCCTCCTTCCGAGGAGTGGCTGGTGGGTTTGAACCTCCAGCCTTCTGGTTAACAGTCAAATGCCTTAGACTCTATGCCAACAGACCATGCTAAATTTTTTTTTGCTAGCAATACCAGACCTAAATCAAAGGCCTCAACATTCAGTCAAGTGCCTTTTTGGTTATATCACATTGACCTGACATTCTCTCTATTTGGAGGGCAGGTCACTGTCCCTCGAGTTATACACCAGTAACTCCAAATTCACAAAGCTTTGTCAGTAAGATCCAGGGCTTCTGGCCTCCGTAGGGCTCTAAAAAACTGCTTACAGTAGCAGAAACTGGTGTAACCACCACTCAGTATACATCTGGTCTACACATAATTCTGTTTCCTGTGAGGGATGAAAAAATTTTTGCTGAGTGATATGCTAAAATGGGTGCCTAAAAGGACCTTCTGTAATTTTTTTTTCCAAGAGATCTTTAAAAATGTAAAAGACTTCATACTGTCCCTATCCCTCCAAATCTGTCTGAAATTGTTTAAGCATGAGTAATGAAATAAAATGAAGATAGCCCGAGATGATCCAGAAACAGACAGGTTTAGCAACTTGCACAGTTCCTGGCAAACCAGGACTTGTAAACTGTTCTCCTGACTACTGGTTTGCTTATTTTTAAAATGTATTTTCAGTTAGTAACTACTAGTTTTTATAGGAAAAGTAATGTGTTTATAAGGGCAAAAATTTAAAAGTGCAAATGATACATAATTAAATCTTACATTCCCTGGAGAAGGATATCGTGCTTGGTAAAGTAGAGAGCGGAAAAGGGGAAGAGCCTCAATGAAATGGAGTGACACAATATCTGCAATGATGGGATCAAGCATAGCAAGGACTGTGAGGATGGCACAGGACTGGGCAGTGGTTCTGTTGTACCTAGGGTGGCTATGAGTCCAAGCCTTATTGACGGCACCTAACAACACAAAAAGGAGCTCTGGTGGCACAGCGCCTAAGGCATTTGACTGCTAACCAGAAGGCTGGCGGTTCAAACCCACTAGCCACTCCTCAGAAGGAATGATACTGCCTCAGAAACCCAAGGAGGGGTCGCTATGAGTTGGATCCGACTCGAGGGCAGTGTGTTTGTTTTTTTAACAACACAATATTTCTCCAAAATACCTTTCCAGTCTATCTCTTACTACTTACTGTTCTACATGCCAGTGAAAATGAGTTCTTGCGGCTCTCTGGATTCTCCTCACACTTTCCAGTTACCCCTTTTAACCTTCTAGATTCTATCTCTATGTGAGGTCTTCAAAGCCAGATGTCATCCCTGAGGTCTATTTTCTAACTCACTTATTGACAGATTCTGCTTTATATTACAGTTTTTGGCTTTTCCAGCTTTTATCACCAATGGATGACAGTGAGTTTGGTTTTGGTTTGAGTTAACCAAAAACCGAATGCACTACCATTGAGTTGATTCTTGGTTTGAGTTAGTCTTTATTATTTGCGCCTACAGAGCCTTTCACCCTTTGTGGCAAGAGTGTTAAACAAGATTTTGTGGTGTTAGTGCCACTGCCTAATTTGTTTATCCCTTCATAAGCAATCCCGCTGTTGCTGGCTTTTAGTGTGTTTTCAACACAAATTCGTAGAATTAATGAATACATGATCTACATTCAGCCTAACATCGTCCAGAGAAATACAAATCCCAGTATGCATTGCGTGAAAGGACGGAAGACGCGGTGACGCAAGGGGGCGTGCCGAGCCTGAGGGAGGGGTCGTCTTGCGGGTAGCCGGAGGCTGGGGAGGCTGTGAAGTACAGGGTGAGAGAGGGAGTGTGAGGGAAGGAAAGGTGAGCCCGGCTGAAGGAGGGGACGCGCTGCCGGGTGCCCCCGGTCTATGGAGCGGGGTAAGATGGCGGAGGCGGAGAGCCTCGAGACAGCTGCGGAGCACGAGCGGATTCTGCGAGAGATCGAGAGCACAGACACGGCCTGCATCGGGCCCACGCTCAGGTACTCGGGGTACCGGGGCCACAGACGGATGGTCACGGGCGGGACCGGCTGGCAGCCTCCTTTGGGTCCGTATGCCAGGTCGGACTCCTGTAGGGCTAGCGTCTGCCCCTCCCTTCAGGAGATTTGCGAGCGGCCTCCGCCCTCGGTGAGACGGCTCTCCCACCGGAGCCCCGACGCGGAGTACCTTCTCGGCTCGCGACTCCCCACAGCCCTACTCAGGGGGCGCCTCCTGCCTCCCTCGGGCCGGGCTGCTTTCATTCTCTTCCCTTAAGGCTGGCCCAGAGCCGGGCAACTAGAGAATCTTGCCCTTAGGGACATCACCCTTCTCCCTCCGACTCGAACTCTTGTCCTACATTAGACATAAGTTCTGCTCTTAAGACAAAACAGAGTTTCATTCCACGGTCTCTTGCTTGGAAATGACACTCTAGCCTCAAAATCACAAACACTTCTCAGAAACCAGTCCCTGAAAATCCTAGGCCTTGGAAAGAAGGAAGTTTCCCTCAACTTGCTCCCCTTTCTTGGGAGCGGGTGTTCGCAACCCTGCCTGGCAGATGACCCTTCCCAAAGGTGCACCCCTCATGGCATTCTCATCGCTGAGAAGAATTTGACCCCTCTCCCGCCCTTGCCCCCATTACCATTACTTAGCCCTCACATTTCAGTTTTATTTGGAGATGTCAAAACAAACTCCGACCTACTCCAACTTACTTATTTCACAAAACTCAGGCGGCATTTCTTACGTACAGTGCAAGACTTGTTAAGCGATTTACACATTTAACTTATTTGAAGCGCAGAACAATCTTAGGTTGGTACTATTGTTATTCTTATTTTATAAATGAAGCACCGAGAGGTTAGAAGTGACTTGCTCAGGGCAGAGGAAGGAAAGAGATTCCTACTAAGGCAATCTGGATTCAGAGTCTGCATTATTTTTTTAAATCGTATTTTATTGTGTTTTCGGTTAAAATTTGCACAACAATTAGGTTCCCATATGACAATTTCTACAAAAATTGGCCTGTGACATTAGTTACCTGATCGTGCACTCTTAACCACTGTTGTTCTGCCTCAATTGGGAATTATGATCTACCAGATCTTTTTGTTGATAATTACATAAGAAAACACAGTTTAGAACTACTTCTTCCTTTCTCTTCAGTATACTAATGTCCTGGAGCAAATTCATCCTTATTCCTCAGTCTTAGATTACTGCTCCTCCCTTCAAAAAAGTTATTAAGCACTCTCTGCTTTTTTACTGGAGAGAATGCTTCATGAAAGAGTGGTTGAAGGAGGGAGAGGCTGGAGACTTTACTCCTCAGCTCCACCTGCATAACTTCCTTCTCTAGAGTGTATTATTAGTACAGTTTTCCCACTGCCATCCCTGGATATGACTATCGTCAGGTTTTTCCTTTTGTCCTTTAAATTGACTTTTAGCTCTCTTTTGCATCAGTTCTTCAGCACTATGGCTGTTCCACACTCCCCTCACATTTATGATCATGACCATCATGATTTTTCCTATTTTCTTAAGCTAAGGTGAATGATCCTCATTTCATAGTCTTTACTTTATACAAAAACTAAGGGCTACTTATTACTAGTATCCACTCGTTGTTAAATTTGTATTTTATAAAATACAGTGTTAACTGGAGTTTACTGAGATTGCTATTTCAATATTCTACTAAGACATTTGGCTGCTGGGCTGCAGTTGGCAACCTAACAAAGAAGCATCAATGTTGTCTCAAATTAGTTGTAGTTTTCAAAGTTCATGTTTTATGTGAAAAATGATTTTAGTGTTATCAATTTCGTTTGTTGTGGTTTATTAGATTAACTCTCCACTGAGTAATGCTACATATTTGTATCAACTTAATTTTGGCTTGTAATTTTTCTAGTATCTTCACTTTAATATGTATTTTGGTTCAAATATAAATTACCATTTTCTCTAAAACTTGTTTCATTGTTATCACTGAGTTCATTTTCCACTGGAAAGTGGGCTTTTGTGGGTAGATAAAGCTATCTTTTGCCCTAAGGGACCACTAACAAAACTCAAACTCACTGCCACTGAGTCGATTCTAATTCATAGCGACCCCTATTGAGTTTCCACAGCTATAAATCTGAGGGAAGCAAACTGCCTCATCTTTCTTCCATGGAGTGGCTGGTGGGTTCAAACAACAGACCTTTTGGTTATTAGCCAAATGCTTTAATCACTACACCTTTAGAGCTCCTAAGGGAGCAGTGGTTTTTTTTTTTTTTTTTCAGTTTAAGAACCACTGTACTGTCCCACCAATTTTAATTGCTTTTCTTGATTTCCTGTGTCATTATTGTTGTTGTTGTTATGTTCCATCAAGTCGGACCCTACTCATAGCGACCCCTCCTTGGGTTTCCGAGGCAGTATCACTACAGAAGTAGATTGCCCAACCTTCCTTCTGAGGAGTGGCTAGTGGGTTTGAACCGCTAGCCTTCTGGTTAGCAATCAAGTGCCTTAGGTACTATGCTACCAGAGCTCCTACGTGTCATTATTAGGGATTATTCATTTTTTTGTTCAGTTTTTTGTCCTAATCTTTTCTCTGGCAGGTAATGCTAAAATCTTACAGTCAGACCCGATTCAATCACTTGAACATCCTATAATACAAGTAGTGTCTACTGTTTTGGTTTTTACTCTAGCTTGTCCCTACCCATGTTCACAGGTGATGATCTCACCTTAATTCTAGTCCATTCAGAGGCAGTAGCATGCACAGACTTGATGTTTCATTCCATGCCTTACCCTGGATGCACCTCCATCATTATTATCTCCTGTTTTTCTATCACAGTCATTAAAGAGGTTGGATTAAAGCAATAAGCTCTCTTCGTTAACTACTCTCAGCTGCAAACCCCAAACTCCTCTATCCTGTTTCATGTTAAAGATCTTTTCAGTTTCTCCCATCTTTCACTTACCACCCACTGCTGTTGAGTCAAATCTGACTCACAGCGACCCCTCCTTGGGTTTCTGAGGCCAAATCACTGCAGAAGTAGATTGCCCAGTCTTCCTTCCAGGGAGTGGCTGGTGGCTTTGAACCGCCAGTCTTCTGGTTAGCAGTCAAATGGCTTAGGCACTAAGCCACCAGTGCTCCCTCCCATCTTTTGATGTAGCGTTTTTAACATATTAGATTCTAACTTTTCAGTTATCTGCTGAGCACTTAGTCACTGCATCACTCATCCCTAAAATTCCTGGTCTTTCTAAAAATCTGCTTAGTTATGTTGCCTAACCAGACCCTAACCTTTGCCAGCTATTACTTGTTCTCTTTCCCTGCTATGATACCGAATTATTCTTCCAGTCTTACTTGTTGTTGTTTGAGAAGTCACAATGGCTTGACTTTTTCCTTGTGTAACTGACTTTATTTTAATTCTGAACCATAAAAGCAGTGTTAATCAATTCCCACATGTCATAAGGGAGTGCCTTTCCTTTTTCATTGTAATTCTGAAAGGCCAAGCATATCCATGCTTATGGAGGCTGTTGCCTAGTAAATTCTTTTGGGAAAGCAGCCATCGCTTTTTCTCTGTCTTAAAAAAATTATTTTGTTAGCTGCAGGTCCTAATTTTGCAGATAAGGAAAGAGATCCAGAAGATGTTAGGGTCTGTTCTGTTTTTAAAATAGTTTTGATCCTGGTTCTTTAGTAATAATACTAAACTTCTGATCAAAAATCACTCATGAATAATAGTACCATGATTTTTGAAAGTAGATTGTGAAGCCTTTCTTCTTAATTAGCCTTAGTTTGGAAGATTGGCTGAAACCTTTTCAGCATCAAAGCAACTGTGACATGGAGCTGGTAGCTGTATATATGAGGTGCATTGGCCAGCGATTGAACCTGTCTCCTGCATGGAAGGCGAGAATTGTACAACTGAACCCCTCATGCATCACACATTAAGTATTGGAAGAGTATCATCATTTTGCATCTTGCTTTTTCAGTTAATAAGTTATATGCAGGTTCATGTATCATTACATGGTAATAGCCATATTATTTTAATGGCTTTATTCATGAATTAATTTATTAGTTCATACATTCATTCATTAAGCAAATATTTATTGAGCAACTTCTTTGTGCCAGATAATCTTCTAAGCTCTGGGGTTACAGCAGAGACTAGAATAGACAAATTTATACCCCTAGGGAATTTACCCACAGAATAAGCAAACAAATGAATAGATTCATAATGTTTTACTATGTAGTGATTAGTGCTACATAGTGATAAAACCAAAAAACCAAACTCAACTGCCGTTGAGTCAAATCCAACTCATAGTAACCCCTCCTTGGGTTTCTGAGGTGGTATCTCTACAGAAGTAGATTGCCCAACCTTCCTTCTGAGGAGTGGCTGGTGGGTTTGAACCGCCACCCTTCTGGTTAGCAGTCAAATGCCTTAGGCACTATGCCACCAGAGTTCCTACATAGTGACAAGGGTATTGTTTTCCACTGGGTGATTAGGAAAGGTGGTTCTACTGAAGGTTTGAATTCAGTGAAGGAGGAAGCCTCAGGATTTTCTGGGAGAAGTATCTTCCAAACAGGGTTCAGAAAGTACAAAGGTCTTCAGATGAAAGATAGTGGTGGGAGGTGATGTAGGAGAGTAGCCAGGGTCCAGATGATGTAGAATAAGGTAAATAAAGACTTATATTTTATTCTAGCAGGAGACTGACATGCTGAAATTTAGGTTTAAGAAGGATCATTCTGGCTGCTGTGTGGAGACAGATTAAGAGAGGAAACAGGGGAACGGGTTAAATAGTATTTGCAATAAGAGATTGAGATAAATGAAGTGTTGGGAGGTGATAATGAGTAGTTGGAATTAGAATATATTTTGAAAGTAGAGTCAAAACAGTGGATTTGTCATGAAGATTAGAGAAAGAAAGAAATCAAGGATGATTGCAAGGCTCTTGACTTAAGTAACTGAGTGAATGGTGTGCCATTTTTTTTTTTTTTTTGGGTGGGGAACTAGAGGTCAGGAACAGCACTTATCACCTGCCTGAGATGCTTTTAAGGAGTCCCTGGATG